GTGATGAGGCGTTTGATCTTCACACCGTTTCTGTCACAGCCTTTTAATTAACAGTCGTTACTGTTGGCTGAGGAACAGGATGACTCATGGGGGGTGATGGGGGGGTCAGGGGGGGAGAAGTGACAACACTCTTATGAACCTCCACAAAGATCAAACCCAGGACCTTGATCCTCAGGTTCTAGTTTGAAATAAAGGGATATTTTTGACAGAAGTAAAAACATTCTGTCCACTGGTGGCGCTATAATCTCTTCTCCAAAAAGCACCTTTAACTGAGGCGACCGAGGGAGACGTAGTCCAACAACAGTTCTCTGGGTAGTTAGAGGAACTTTATAAACTTTGGTGCCAGAGGTTAACACAGGCAAACTAAGGCCCGGGGGCCGGATGTCGCCCGTTGAGCTTTTCAATCCGACTCGCCAAACTTTTACAAATGATATAATTTATTTATATTATCATTATACTTCTGCCTTTACCCTGCAATAACCACGTTTTCCCAATAGATGGCGCATTTTATCCTTTATGCGTGACTTTTACATGTCATTTATCTTAGTTCATACGAACGCTCCATCTCTCTGCTCCTGACCCCGCCCCCCCATTCAATTATAGGACAATTGTGGCCCATGAGTCAAAAAATGTGTCCACACCTGAGTTAACAGTTAGCTGTGCTTAACAAATCCTTCAGAAGAGTGATTAGAACTTCTGAAGGTTAAATCCTATGATTGGAACTGTTGGATGTAGGGACAAACACAGGCCCGGGTGCTCAGAACTGTTGGTCTGGAACACAGCTGCTGTCTGTTTCCATCATCACTCACTCTTCATTTCCCTGGTGAGGAACAGCGTTCCTGGGCTTGACATCAGCAGATGAGATTCCGGTCCTGCCATCGGTGTCATGGGTACCGAGTTCCTGCCCTGTGTGTGGGTCATTAGTTGTTAATGAGGAGAGACAGGAGGAGGAGGAGGAGGAGGAGGAGGTTTAACACAATCACAGCCGTGAAGGAGGAGGAGGAGGAGCAGGAGGAGGAGGAGGAGGAGGAGGAGTTCTGTTGTTCTGTTTCCCTCCTGCTCCTGACTTTTATTATTATTAATATTCACTGAACTGAACTCTGACCTCCCTCCTCCCCCCTCCTCCCCTCTTATCTCCCCATCATCACACACTGACGAATGACGGTAGTTGTAGAAATGATTCAGTTACCAGTGATGAAAGAGTTCACAGTTCACTGCTGTCCTGATTCAACACGTCAGGATCTTTGTTCTGGTTCTTCTTCAGAACCTAATCCTAGTTTAGAACAGGGTTCTCCTGCAGCTCACTGTCCAAAGGCCCAATGAATCAAACAAACTTTCAAAACTTAATCAGTCGCCCAGCAAATCCGCTTGAATATTTATCCAATCAAAATGGACAGGTGTCCCGCCCCCTCCCAAAACAAAATGGTTTTTTTTCCATTTAGCTGTCGATCAAAACTTGGACTCTGGAACAATAAGTTGAACGAATCTTCAACGGATGTTGAAAGAGTCATTTCGTTAATTTTTTACAGTACTTGGCGCCCTCTTGTGGGCGTTGTAAAGAACGCCATGATTCTCAAAATCTGAACATAAATAACTTGCTAAAATAGGATTTATATAAATTTTCTTGGAAAAAAAAAATATTTTTAGCATAATAAAATCACGTAACCTTTTTAATTTTTAATTTAAAGCTTTTTATTTTTTAATTTTATTTTTTACTTTTTTATATTTTAATTTTAATTCACAGAGCAAAGTCCATTGAGAAATATAGAGAGTATAGAAATATATAGCTGCCTTCTTCACAAAGTTCAAATGTATCTTTGACATAACTCTTCGAAATCCTTTGTTCAGATAAAGGATATATTTACCACAGGAGGCAGCAACGAGCCAGCGACTGTGGTGTCACTCTTTTCCCCCCATCATTTCTTTGGTGTGGGAGAGTGAGGTTTTAACAGAGATCAGTTTCCTGTTGAGAAGACAAATCTCTCAGTCTCAGCGCAGTCGCTCATTGTCACCGATTCGTGATCAGGTCACTGATCTCAGCTGTGGTTTATGATAAATGTAAACCTGTGTTCACACACGCTCTCTCTCTCAGTCTGTATCTGTCTTTGTGTCTGTTTCCTGTTTTTCCACTTCAACTCTTTGTCCCTAAATACATTTCATTCAAATTAAAATTCAAATCATTAAAATTCTCTCCACTCTCTCTGTGTGGAGTCAAACCCACTCTGGTTCCGTCCAGCTCCTCTCCGATGTCACAACTATTAAAGAAAGACTTTTTCCCACAACAGTAATTTGTATTTAACGGATTAAAAGCAGGTTTTTGAACTGAGATAATCAGGAGTTACCAACGGTACCAGGAACTACGTGATTTTCTACTGTTGGAACAAGTAGCAGTACTAGCTGCAGTTTTGTTGGTTCGGTAGAACTTGACTGAACTGTGACGTTTGAAGGAAATAAAATAAAGTTTTATCAAATAATTCCCGTGAGAAACTCAACTTCCTTCTTTTCTAATTCTAACGTTAATTTCTTGTCAAGCTTTGTATTTTGTTCCGTTTTTCTGTAAAACATTCCATTCTTATTAATATTTATTAGACACTCTCATCTAAGCCAATCAGAGCCTGAGAGCCGCGTCACTGGATCAAGCTTACGTCAGAGACGTAGCGAAGAATTGGTTAGAGCTTTTCAGAATAAACGCTTCACACGAAAAGTTTTTTTTTTTATGAAACTCTGATTTAGAACAAATCATAATGACGAACCAAACAAAAAAAACCATTAAGGATGTTCCTTTTACTGTTACACAACGTTTTAATTCTGCTGTTCCTTTTTTGTGAGTTTGTATTTTAATTTGTGCATTTTTTTTATTTAAATTTCATTTTACTGTGTACATATTTATTTCTTCTATTATAACATATGTTATAATTTTATTATCTGGATCATCAAGCTGTTTTTATCCCACGTTTCTTTAGTTGTATGAATCTATATGTATTTAAATATTCCAAATGTTTACATTAATTTTACCTACGCGCTCTTCAGTCTTTTATTGTGTAGTCGTTTAGCGGAAGTACCTTCGTTAGTCCGTTAGTTCTTCCAGCTTGTCTGCGGTGGACGGAGAAGCAGCGGGGTTTTTTCATTCACAGAGCGACGATGTGAGAGAAGCAACAAGTTTGGAGCCGAAACATCAGAAACGGCCGCGGGGATTTCTCCAGTTTCCTTTGGAGAAATTGACTTTATGTCCGGACACTGAGGAGGAGGAGGAAGAGGAGCTGTCCCCGGTGTGGAGGGGTCCACATGTCTCTGCTGTGACTGAAGACGTTCATCTAAATCATCAGTGATCTGGTGTGACGTCACGCAGGTGAATCTCACACACGCATACACGTGCACGCTCCAAATTAAGAAAAAGCAGCAGGTGAAAGAAGTGACGTCTATGTGCAGAGTCGGTCTGGGGGGCTCTGAGGACCTCCCTCCCCCCCGAACCCTCGATGATTGACAGCTGCCGTGACGAGTCGTTCCGATTTTTAAATTTCTACAACGATAATTAAAATAAAAATCTGCCGTTGATGAACAACGGTCGACCTTCAAACTGTTTCATGATTAAATGAAGTTGATAATAACGACTAAAATTTGACTTTGTTAACAAAACTAAATGAAGTGATACAGAGACAGGGATTTAAAACACCAGCGAACAGAATAACAGAAATAACTGAAACAAATGTATTAGCTGCATCAAAGCTAGCTGTAAAGTTAGCCCGGGAAATGGTAACGGTTAACTGTTTAAATACACAATATTTTATATCAATGCTAAAAAATAATTAAATAAAAAGAAAGTGAGAAACAATAAATTAAAAATGTTTAGTTTTTTGTTTGTTTTTGGAAACATCACAGGGCGGGAGTTAGCACCGATGTATTTGAGCTAAACTTAACCCTGGTAAAATACAGTTAAAGTGTGTGTGTGTGTTAGCCTTAGCAGCTGATCCTATAAGAGCGGCCCTCTGTCATGAGTTAGTTCTCAGACACTAATACAATTACAGAGAGCAGGACACAGAGCTGCAGTGTGTGTGTGTTTTCACTGCTGTGATGTGAAAACACACACACAGTTAAAGTTTCTCTAAATGTAAGAAACAAGTCTTTAAACTTGATCCTTTGATAAATTATAAAGTAGAACCGATATCCGGACCTAAGAAAGTACCATGTTAATGCCACAATTAGTACCTGAACTATAAGCAATTTCAAAGGAACACTAGTTACAGTGTGCGTGCCTTTCCATTTCAGAACTCTCAGCAGGATTTAGCAACGGTTCTAGGAACTATACGTGCTTGTGCAATAGAAAATAGTACCAGGTATCTGGAACACTATGTGGAACCATGTGCTGTTTCACTGCTGGACTGAAAGAACCACAGGGACAGTTTTTGGCCCTGAAGCAATCGGTGTTGGTGGGAACAGGAACTGTTTATCAGGAACTTGTCTGTTAGAACTGTTCAGTTGTTACCTGTTATCAGTTATCAGTTAGCTCTTTAGAGTTAGCACCGACTGCTTCCTGTTTCTATACAGCTCTTAGCCTTTTCTTGTCATCAGTTATCTGTTAGCTTTCATCGGTTAGCGTTCTGCATCATTAGTCTTTAGCTGCTTCCTGTCACCTTCTTTTCTGGTTTCTGGTTTAAAAGTTAGAGTTACGTGCTAACAATTACTGAGCTTCAACACAGTTTCCTGTCACACATCAGACGGACTTTGATTGACAGCTGACATTTGGAACAGGTTCAAAGAGCTGAGACCAGTGTGTGTGTGGGTTGACCTTTTGTGGTGACACACATGGACCACTGACGCCAGAAGACGCCTCCTCCTGCTGAGCAGATGGAGGAACTGTTTTGTGACTCAGGAACTGTTTTCACAAAGCATCACACAACACGTGTGTGTTTGAGTGCGTGTGTGTGTGCGAATTGAACAGTGTACACAGGGTAACACCCACACACACACAACATGATTGTTTTTAGAAATTTCAAACATTTACAGAAAAAAAGACTCCTCTCTCCAGGTTCTGTCTCCATGACCTTTGACCTCTGTCCCTCAGGTTCTGGTCCTCTTTTTGTCTGTAGTTTTATATGTGGTTCATTCTGTGAGGTTCTGGGTCTGGGTCCAGAATGACGTCCATGTTCCACCTCCTGTGGTTTTTGGCAAAGGTTCTGTCAAACAGACAACAGTGTGTTTGTACTGGTGTTTGGTATCCCATCAGCCACCTGGTCAGAAACTCTGGGCTGGACTGGTTCTGACTGTTACAGGGATCTTAAAGGGACAGTACAGGTTTTGAAAAGTGTGGCTTTGACCACCAGGTCTCTGGTCCAGCTCTGGTGATAAACCTCAGTCTTTGGTCTCTGACTGGTGCTACAGTGAAGGTGTGGTCTGGTTGCAGTGACCTGTGGGGCCGAGGGTGAGGGGAGGATGTTTGCTGCTGTCTTCTACTTCCTGCTGTGCAAACACTCCTCACCTCAGAGAGCGAGAGACAAATATATGTTGATATATACCATATTTGTTCAATATATATGTTGATATATACCATATTTGTTTATACACTGGAGAGAACTGTTCTAGATGTTTCTACTTTGACTTGTTTGTTTCTAACCACTTGTTGAATCGTCGTCTTTTAATCAGATACCAGGTGAAAACAGGAAGTAACAAACATGCAGTCAACTGGTTTACCTCACACTTTGTTTTTACTTCTCTCTCCAAAGCAGACAGAGTGCATGATGGGATCTTTCAGGCGTCCCAGGCCACGGTTCATGAGTTCTCCGGTACTGTCCGACCTTGCACGCTTCCACGCTAGCTCACCAGCTCTTCAGATCTCCAACACCAGAGTGTGGAACAGGTATGAAGACAGGAATGTTGTTTGTTCAAACCAGTTCCAAGTCTGACTGATCACAGATCAGAGGACATGTCACTATCGGTTCTTAGCTCTCAGTGATTTTAGCTCAGACTGATCCAACGATCAGGTTCAAAAATTAGTGTTGTTTGCTCCTTTAGTTTCTAAATCCTTCACACAGATTAACCTAAGTGACACAAAGTGACCACAAGGGGCAGCAGCTACTGGACAAACATTTATTGGTCTTTGAAACTGAGGTGTCTTTAAATCTCCAGCTTCAGCTGTGAAGGATGAACATCCTCAGTCTGACTGAGGATGTTGGAGTCCTCGTTGACTCTTTGGTCTCCTCCTCTGAGCAGGATGTGAGACAGGAAGTGGCAGTGAGGTCACTTCCTGTGGAGTAGAGCACCACATTAGTCAACACAGACACCTTTTCTTTAACAACAACATTTGTGTGGAAGTGATCAACTGACTGTGTGTGTGTGTGTGTGTGTCCCTCACTGTCCAATCAGCTGTCATCAAAGTGTTTAAGGGGGGAACTCTGCAGAACAACGAGCTCTACACACTCAACGACAGCATCAGGTGACAACAAATATATATTTATATATATGTATTTATTCTGACTCACTCAGTGGAAGTGAAAAATCCCAGGATTCAACAATAGCTTGGTCTTGTACGTGTCTCAATAGGTGGCTCCTGAAGACAGAGATGGGCTCATTCATCACGGACTACTTCCAGGTGTCTCACCGTCTCACTGTCTGTTGTTGTTTGTCTTCTGCTGATTGGCCATTCAGCGCCCCCTGATCTCAGGATCTTGTTCCTAACATTTACCTGAGCCCAGTTTGGACACACAGAGAAAGGACTCGGGGGAGGGGAAGGGGGTGTCTCCTGTGTACTTCCTGTCCATATTCTGAGATGGAGCATCCTTCCTGTCCTCTCTGAACGGGACATCCACCTTCCTCTCACCCTGACCTTTGACCCCGAGGTCACACATGACTTTGTTCCTGTTTAGTTAGCGTGAAAACAACAAGACAAAAGACAGAGAGACAAAAGGTCAACATCAGAGACAAGGATGATGACGATCTGTGTGTGCTCCCTGTTCTCAGAACCAGCTGCTGACTCGAGGTCTCTCTGAAGTCCTGGACCAGATCCTACTTCACTCTGGTGAGACCGTCTCCTGGTTCCAATCCCAGAGTTCAGATGGTTTTTCTGATGTTGGACGTCACCGTGTTTCCATAGTAACCTTGGAATCTCCTACAGGTGGACATCAGCTCTTGGTTCTGGCCGACATGTGGGACAGATTCTTCACGGAGACACTGCCTACGCTGCAGGCCATCTTCTACCCTGTTCAGGTGAGACACACACGTCTGTGGTCCTTTAAATAATCTGGACTTAGTGGAGAGGATTGACCTCCTGACCTCTGCATTGAGGGATCTGTGTGTGTGTGCGTGTTCAGGGTCAGGAGCTGTCAGTCAGACAGTTGGCTCTTCTGGCCTTCAGAGACCTGGTGCTGCTAAAGCTCCACCTGGAGGCTTCTCTGCAGAATGCAGCGTCTGTTCCACCAGCTGTTACTCACATGCTGCTGGTCCTGCAGGTGACACACACACACACACACACACACACAGTTTTGTCCATCTCCTGCTCCATCTCTGTCCTAATGTCTGTCTGTGTCTCAGGGGGTCCATGAATCCTCCTCCCCCAGTCTGGAATATTATCAGCTGGAGCGTCTGGTCTCCATCGTCGTGTCTCCGTACATCAGCAACGTCCTGCACGACACCAACCAGCTGCTCCTGGGTCAGTAAGACTGGGACTGGTACTGGGACACAAAATCAGTGATTTTAGCAGGACATGCCAGTCCTCTGCTGCCTCCTGTGGTCACTTTGTCCTCACTTCCTGTCTCCTCCTCCAGAATCCCGTGACCTCAGAACTTCTGGGTTGTTTCTGGGTGCGCAGCCGGAGATCAGGGTCACTCATCACCTGTGCTCCTCAGACTCCTCCTCTCTTAGTCCTGTGGTGGAGCAGGAGGGCGAGGCATACCTGGAGAAGGTGGGAGGGGTACGGCGCCACACAGTGGCCAACGCTCACACCGATGTACGACTGCTCTCCCTATCCAGCAGGATGAACGCTGAGATGGACAAAGGCGTCATGGTGAAGAGGGTACGGGGGGGCGTGGGGTTCTTGGTTGGGGACGGTCCAATGACAGACAGAGCCTTCTCCAGCCAACCAGACATTGTGGAGACTCAGAGGGGCGGGGCTGTCCATGTGTCCTCCTCCTGAGACCTGGACACGGTCAGACTTCAGACGGGGGACAGCGCTCCGTCCAGGACCAGATCAGACCTGTTTTTTTTTAACTGTTGTTATTAATTAAAAACTCTCTCAGTGAATTATTGTAGAACTTTTTTTTATCTTTGTTTCAAACGTGTTTTAAATAAAACTAATAAAACAGTTGAAAAAGTTTGTTTATTAAAATGTGACAGTGCTTTAAATTCAAACTGATTTTGTTTATGTAAGTTTAAAATGTTTCATTAGAAACAGTTCTGGTTAAAACAGCAGCAGCGCAGGTTAAATATGACTGAAAATACAAAGTTAACAAAAATAAAAATATTCAGAAGAGAAAATGTACAAGAATTCCTGGTGAGCCTGAGTGTGTGTGTGCATGTCCTCAGGATGGTGGCAGTACTGTGATCCCGTCCATGTCCAGCTCCACCGTGTGGACACTGAAGTCTCCCAGACCCTGACCAACAGAACCAGTCGTCAGTGGTTTAAACATTTGAATCTTTTTGTTTTATTTCTCTCTGTCTCCTTCTACTGTCCTCAACCTTCAAACCCTCTTTGTTTTTGACCTCTCACCTCTGTGTCCTCGAGGAGCTGCTGTACAGCCTGTCTCTGCTGCGGCTCTCTGGTCAGCAGGTACAGGAACCCCCCCCCTCCAGCTCCAGCCAGACTCTGACCCAGGACCAGAGGCCTTAGAGCCTCCATCATGGTCCTCACTGACGCCGGTTCACAGCCCGGAGCCATCAACTTCTTCTGCTGCCAGGACCGATCCAGGCACTGACCCAGTCTGGACAGAGAGCCTGAGGACACAGAGGGACAGTTTGAGGACAGAGGGACAGACTGAGGACACTCAGATATTACTGACTTCACTGAAGTCTCTGACCTTCTGAACAGGCTCTGGAACATTCTTCTGAGTTGGCCACCAGCTCCTGGGCGTTCTGGACCATCAGAGGGAGACGACTGTACCAGCTCCGGACCACATCCTGCAAACACATCATCATCATCATCATCATCATCATCATCGACACTGTTCTAACTCCGTGGGTCAAGGGTCCAAGGTCAGGCCCCCCCCCCGACTCAGCACAGACCAACAGAAGACCAACCTGCAGCAGGTTCCGAGCCAGACGGGTTTTCCCCGTGTATACCAGCAGGAGGTGCTGCTCCAGAGACACCAGGAAGTCCTGGGGAGGACAGAGACGTTCCACTTCAACTCTGAGGGGCAGAGAGGTTCTGGAACGACCCACCTTCACTCCCCCCACCAATCCTCCCACCTGATCCTGCCAGCCCCCACCTGAGTGTGGAGGAGACCGGGAGAGGAGGGAATAAAAATGAACCAGACCTCTGAGGGAATCATTCAAACTTCAACCTTGTCCAAAAATCCATTGGAAGGTCATCGATGACATCATCACAGGTCAATAGAGAGAGATGCTTCGACTGAGCAGAGAACATTCCCAGAATTCCTCACCTGTGGTCAGGATCTGCTCCAGGTACAGGATGCCGTGGATGAGTGAATCATTGTCATAACTTTGACCAGTACATCTGTAGACTGCAGCCAACAGCGCCCCCGCCAGGATACTGCTGGTACCTGCAGGACGACAGAGGAGCTCTCGTTGGTCTGAGGTTCTAAAACCATGGGGCTCTGATTCACTTCTGGAACAGAGTGTTTGGTGTTTTTGTACCACAGGGCCACACACTGCCCCCTACAGTACGTCTGGCTAACAATCACGTTCTGGCTGAGCTCATGTTTTGTTGTTCGGAGGCTAACATTTAATTTAGATTTTACAAACTGTGTGTTGGACTTGGTTCCTCACCTAGTCCAGATCCTGTGGGCAGCGTGGACCAGCTGTGGAGCTCCACCCCTCCTCCCCACCTCTGCATCAGCTGATCAACCAGAGAATGCTGGGAGGTGAGTGACACCAGACCGCTGCACACACACACGGCCTTCAGCAGAGCTCCTGTACCGGGGTCAAGACCAGGTTCAGATTCCAACAGCCTTCAGGTGCAGGTGTAAAGGTATCTGGGTCTGGTACCTGGGGCGTGGGGCTGACAGTGGTCCTTCAGGTCGTCCAGACTCTCACACACCGTCTCTGTGTACACTCCACTTCTGTGTCCCCCGCTGTAGCTGACCAGAACGAGGCGTGGTTCTGGGATGCGTCGGGCTTTGGCTCCAATTGGACGTTTTCCGTCCACCTTCACAGCAACGTTGGTGACGGAGCCACCGTGCTCAAAGGCGATAGGCGGGGTATCGCTCCAACCTCCTGCAACACGGCCAGAAAAATAAAACTTTCATTTTCATGACGTTGTAGTCGTTGACCAGAACTCTTCAGGACAATTTTAGTGAAATCTCACGATTATTAGCTACGTTGGTCAATTTTGGTTTTTTGACTCACTTTTGTCTCACTTTTATTGTTTTTCTATATATGTTACTCAGGACTCTCTTGCCTGAGTGGACTTGACTTTTGGTGAAATCTACAGTCATCCCACTAGATGGCACTGTTTCCCAACAGATGTCATTTATTTAAAGACAGAATTCGAACCTCTGTCTCACCTGCCAGGTCCAGTCGAGCTGGACACTCCACTTCCTGCCACTGACTCAGAGGGGGGAGGTCACCCTGGCCAATAGAGATGAACCTCTGTGATGACATCACTGCCTGTCGTAACAGCACCTGCCCGGCGCCTTCGTAGTGCCGTGCTGCTCGTACCAGCAGGTCAGGCCTGTGAGTGCAGCAAAGGTCAGAGGTCATTGTCCCCCAGGAACCACACAGTAAGAAACAACATCTCTCACCTGCTGAGCCAATCAGCTCTCTGCACTGCCAGGGCCGTGACTCCGCCTTTCAGGTCTCCTGCCTCCAGCAGGGAGTAGGCTCTGATCCAGGCCCGGTTCGCAGCAGGTCCGCTCCTCAGTCCCCCCCGCCTGCCAGCCATGTAAACCAACACATCAGCAATACAGGAGAGACAGCGAGCGGCCACGCCCATCTCTGCTCCAGGCCCCGCCCCCTGCTCTATGTTCCCTGCTGCAACTGAAAAAGAACGGGTTTTTGTTTTTTGACATCACTTAAGTTTAGTAATTCATTTACTTAACAAAAACAAGGTGACAAAACCATGGATGATCCCAGACACGTCTCTGACTTACTGTCGTCCAGTGTTTGTAGCAGCGCCTCCTGCTGGCCGCTCAGCACTGCCGCTCTGAAGTAGGGCAGCAGGCAAACGTCAGAACAGCTAGTCAGTGTGTCCATCACTCTGCGTCTCCCTGCCAGGAGCAGCAGGTCCTCCCTCCACCGCAGTTCTGACTCCTGGTGAGTGAGAGACAGCACCTCCTTCAACGAGAGCCTCCACGCCTCCCTCCAACTCTGCAGGCTGCTGTCGCCTCCTCCCAGGAGCCAGGCTACACCTTTCCTAAAGTCCACCGCACCTTCTCTAGGGTGGAGAACTGGAAAGAGGTGAGCTTCCAGCAGGGAGCGCTGCTTCCCTCTGAACCACAGTTCCTCAGGCCTGAGGAAGATGAGAGGAGCAGAAAAGGAGTTGTAGAAATGAAAAAAATAACAAAAGATTCACTTTGACTAAAAGAAAAGGTCATGTGACAGGAAGTCTTACTGAATCCCTGTCCTGCTGTAGAACTGACTCCAGCTCTGGTTCAGGAAGGAGGCGCTGCCGTCATCGGAGGAGGCCTGTTGAGGAGGTGAAAGAGGACATGTTTACAAAACAGGCTACTGCCACCAGGGGGCCCTTACAGAGATGTGCAGTGAAGACGACATGGTAATTGACACAAAAAAGCTTTGATATGATGTCATCACTGCTCCGCCCCCCTTCACCTCCAAATCGTCCAGTGCTCCCATCACTGTGAAGACGTTCAACTTCAGCTTCCCCAACTGGATGCGGTGTCCCTGGATGATGATGTCATCGGTCAGCTGCAGCTGCCTGACTGACTGGGACGCTGACAGGTCCAGTCCTGACAGGAGACACCCCGGGGGTACCACCAGAGGACCCTGTGGAGGGGGTGGAGGTGAAAATACGGTGTGGATACTGAGGAAAGCTCCCTGTCAAACCATTACTCACCTGTAGGTGGCAGTGTTGAACTACTGCTCCACTTGCTACTGTGACGTCTCCTTCCAGAACGCTGTTAATGAGCCGAGCTCTGGGTCCGACCTTGTGCTCCACCTGAAGAAGAACAGGAAGTGAGGTGGTGTCGGTGGGACTGCGAGAAAACGTAGGAACAGGAAGTCACCTGGGCGTGAGACAGCGTGTTCCTGTCCGACCAATCACAGCTCAGCCTCTCCACGTGCTGCTTCCCAGACTGAGTCAGGTAGTCGTAATGCCCCCCACACACATAATCTGTGGGAATGACACACACGAGGTGGATATGTATATTACACAATCGTAGCACTCCAGGAGGGTTGAGGGTTCAATCCCCGGCGCTGCCTTCGGGTCCTCAGATAAATGAAGCAACATGTTGACGTGGAGACACCAACCCAGCATGAGTGGAGTTCCTCTGAGAATTCTCCACAGTTCTGTCCTGCCTCCTCTCACCATCACCCCCTGTGGCCCCACAGTGGAACTGCAGCCGGCTCTCTCCTCAGTCACAAACTGGTCTTGAGTCAGATCTGAGCAGAGACACTTCAGCATGTCCAGGAAGAGAGAAATCTGAGGGGCAGGTAGAGAGAGAGAGGGCAGTGGAGGGACAACTCAGGTTTTTATGAGAGTTCTGGATGACATTTTTATTTGAGAGGTTTGATTGTTTGGCTCCCGTCTACCTGCAGGGGCGGAGCTCCAGAGTCCAGGCCCAGGTAGGTGCAGCCGTCCAGAGGTGGAGTGACGTGGGTCTGCAGCAGCTTCTCTGACACAGAGCTGCTGAAGAAAACTGGACCAGAAACCTGAAACAACAGGATAAAAAAAACATTGAAGCTCTCACAGCAGCTGGTCCTGTCACCTGACCTATTGACCTCAGAGTTTGACAGAACCTGACGTTCCAGCAGCTCAAAGCTCTGAAGGTTCTAGATCATTCAGCAGCTCCTAAGAAGGTTCTGTCTATTATGGTCCAGACCATAATAATAATAATGAAACCACTTCCTGTAACATGAGCTCAGCTGAGTGACAGGCTGGGATAATCATCTGGGAGCTCACACCACAACAAAGAGTAACAAAGACCAGCTTCAACGTTAGAACATACCAGCGGTACTTTCCCATCAGGCATGAGTGCCTGTTGAATCTGCTCATTGGTTCCCTTGTAGATAATGTCCCTGACCTGACCCTGTCACACAAAACAAACACACCTTCAGAGCAACCAAAAAAGTGTT